GACCAAAGCTCTGGAACAAGCTGCCCCTGACCTACGCACAATCACTGACTTTGGTCTTTTTAAATCCACACTTAAAACATATTTATTCAGGCTGGCTTTTAATACTCAGTAGCACGGCGACACTTTAGTTTCTCATGGTTTTATGTGTTTTTATTGTTTGGTTGTATGAATGTTATTAACAGATTTTATGTTATTTTATTGTAAAGCACTTTGGTTGCCTTGTGTCTTGTAAAGGGCTCTATGAATAAAAATGTGATGATTGATATGAAAACATAGAAATAACTTTACACTTATGGCTAAGGTTATTTTCAGAAGAACCTAAGTACAGTAGTAAACATGTACTTTCAAGCTATTATCAAGACATTTTGGATCAATATTTTGGCATACAGTGATTTAGTTATTTGCTTGTTCCAGAACAACATAAACCAAATGTATGAATAATGCAATCAGGCCGGGTCCCTCTATGTATCAGGACCTATCAATACTAATGCCTATGCCCCATCGGACAGACGAGTGCACAAATTGTCTTTCTGACTCCTGCCCATCACTGCTGTGGGGCCTGTCCCAGCTGAAGCACTCACAGCGTCATTATTCCCACATATCTTATCTGGAGATGAGATCAATAAATCTATGGATCCGGCTCACACTGGACTGTGGTGTCCGTGGGCTTCCTATTTTTCCCCTTGTCAATCCCATAGAACACTTATCTGCAGGAACAAGCTGATGCATTGTGCGACGCCCCGGCCAATGTTCATTAAGTTGTTTTTCAATGAGGGAGCGCCAATCAATATTCGACTGTGGTGATTCATGCGTGCCCTGCCCTATGCATCTACACACTTCTCTCCCAAGGATTAGTATGCCGGAAGACACCAATAATACGAGGGAGTCAATTACCCGCTCATGAAATATAAATGATTGTGCAGGTGAAAGCTTAAAAAATGCTCTTAGAAATGTTCTGGTGCAATTAAAAGTTGCCATTTTAATGTATGAATAGCCTTGAAGTAATCTTTCATTTGCGCCGCATTAGCACATTATCCATCCTTTCAGCGTGGAGATATGGAGCAGCTCGAGCTAAATCGGCTTCGTAATAGCATTCAACCCATGGGAGTGTGAGACAAAACACTCACATCCTGCTGGCCCTCGCCTCTCAAGAACTCTTTAAATATCTCCAAGAAAAATAAATGGATGTTTTCTGATTCAAAGCTGTGTCCAAGGCTAGAAATATTCTGAGGTGTCTAAAAATCACAATATAAGTATGTGTTATTGGTGTGACCTCACCTTTGCAAAGTGAAATATTATTTTGCTATCAACAAAACCAACTATTACAGCTGCATTTCATCAGCCGTAACCCATACTTGAGGTGACCTTAGAGGCACAAACACATTTGTTTTTTACTTTCTGATGATGTGTTGACCAAAGTTATGTTCCACGTTGTAATTATATACCAGTTTTAAAGCAACACATTCTTTTAAACTATAGCCATGATGTGTTATCTCCTTTTCCTCTTGCGGTTGACCAACATTTTTTGTTAAATTATAATGATATGGAATATGAAAATATTCTCCCTTTAAACATAATAACAACTTGGGGATTTCGTGGAAGTTAAGTCAAATATTTGGTGGAATATCAACAGAAAACCTGAAAATGGGCCAAAGCAGCAGCCTATGCCAGTGTGCTTTTTGTTAAGCTTAGTGAAACAAATGATAGGCTAAATCAATTTAAAATGGTGAAAAATTCTCACATGATAAAAGGCCACTAAAATCATATTTGTTATTGCAAAATGGTTACATGGGTGCACTCAGACCACTCTCACAGTATTAGCCCTTCTGGGTGGCAAAGAAAGTTTCTATAAAGTGTTTGAGAGAGAATGAATTTCCACAGGCCTACATATACTATATGTACAATACAATCATGCAGGTTAATTTGCATTCGCTGTCCACACAAAGAACAGATGATACAAAATAGACGTAGAAACTAATGAACAAACTGAAGAATTGACCGTGATCTTGTATAATAATAATAATAATAATCTACATACAAGACAGTTTTCTTAAATTCATGTTGTGAATATTAAATACTGAAATAACTAAAAAGGATGTTGTAAAAATAATAAACTGTAGAAAGCAACTATTGCACTCTCAAAAACCCTTTATATTTAAACATTATCTTGAGCAAATGATTGGATATTGATTACCTGTTGTATCCAATGAATTAAAAGAGGGCAGGCCTGTCTTCTATTCAGTTGATTTTAATTACATTGTCACACTTGAATACCTAAATAAAGCCTTTGGAAAAAAAAAAATACTGGTTCCTATGATATGCTGACTGTGATGTTTCAGTTTGTGCCCCCTCTGTTACTCCTGTGACCACTGGAGCGATGTTCCAGTTTGATGTATGTCCGTGTGAATACAGTGGAACAGATGGACTCTCGGTGCATTCTAGTCGACCAGTGGAGAGCCGAGGATTGGTCATTGTTGCCACATTGGGATGAATCCTAATCTGCTGTAAATGATGACACAGGACACGTTCCTCAGCTGCTGCGCCCCACTGGGTTATTGCTGTCTCCTTCTCTGTGTCAATCCACTCCTTTAGAACCATGCTCTACTCATATGCTCTACTGATATGCCTCCCACAGTCTGCTGAGAACTCCTTATTAAAGTTGTCATACGGAGAAAGTCCAAAATACTGTACCTTAGAGATCTGCTTGAAAGGGCTACACTAGCACTCACATTGAAATGGCAATCAGCAAATACTGCAAACATGACATTACATGATTTAAGATAAACGGCAATAATCTTGTTGCGTATTCTAAAAATGTTGCTATCCCAATAAAAAAACAAATCACTGAAAATGTCAAAAAATAGTGTGTTTTATCTGTTAATAGAAAAAGGCAAGTCCAGTCTTAACCAATTTTGTTTTAAGCACAGTGGAAGTGAGATATTTATCATCAAATAAAGAAATGTATCTTCAAATATTTATTCAAGTTTCCTTGTGCACTTTGAAAATTCAAAGTGCAGACGTGGTGCTTGGTAGAATAAACATCACGCAATAATGACACAGTGTTGATTACAAACATTGTCTTACGGCTTTGGCATTCATTTTGTATTCTTGTCCAAAATGGTTTACTGTATTGCCCCTGCTGCCCTCTGGAGAGAAAAAAATGGATAATAGAAACCAAATAAATAGCAGCTAGTAGTGGTTTACTTTGTTCAGCTTCTACTTTACTTCAGCAGTTAAGTAATTTATCTGTTTTCCTGTTATGAGAACATTACATGCAAAATGTTGTTATTGTATGTTCCCAATGAAGTGGATACGGTGCACAACAAGGAGAGCAGGTGGAAGATGTCCGTTCATCATTAACTTCACTTTCTCTTCAAACCAACAAAACATTGAAAACAAAATAAAGGCAATTGTTTTCTGCTGTGCTGAAGATGTGTTTCTTTTCATGAGCTAATTTCCACCTCCCATGTGAGTTTTGTCTGAAGTGAGCCAGTGCAGGAAGTGCTTGGCCTCCTAGTGCTATCGCCCTGTGGGACACCGCTGACCACAGCACTGTGCATTAAGCAGCATTACAAAGAGTCCATTACCCAAGCATATGTGTGACTGATGGACTGGCTCAAAAGAAACATCCATTTGCCAATAGGGAGCGTGTCGGAGGTAACATTGTTGTCATGTGATGGCTCTAGACCCCAGGGGCACACAAATGCTCTTATGTTGAAGGGATGAATGAGGCGTCTGATTGAATGCTGTCAGACGGACTGGCAGCATGATCTAATGCCGTCAATTTATGGATCTGCTCCTAATGGAAAAGCCTGGCTTCATCTCACTATAGGTAATTGTACCAACAGTTGGTTTTAACTCAAATTAATTTTATGTACCCCGTGTACAAGGCACATATAAAATATAGCCACTTCTTGTGAATGAAACTCTTAGTTCTTTTTCACTGCCTTTTAGAACGCAGTGACTATATGGATTACTTTTATAAAAAAAAACAAAAAATAAAAAAACAACCCTTGACACTGAGTGCAATATATTGTTATATATCAAATATTTAAACTCTGCAGTATTGTTTTATATTATAGGAATAAAGCGTACTTGTGTATAAATGACCGTTAAAGTTAATTGGCATTTCAATAAAATTCATGGCCGAGATCAAAGGGAGCATTTCTTTAGTTTAAACCATGCTTTCTTAGCTCTTGGTCAATCACAAGGTTATTTGCAAAATGTATTTTTTTCCTCCTGAGTTGTGCCTTGGCCTCGATCAATGTGTTCTTTTTCTGGAATCACTCAGTGTATTGGATATTCCCAATCCATCGCTGAAGCCTCTGTAATGAGAAAAGGGGTGCAGGCTTAAAGTCATTCATTTGATTTTATTGACCATTGAATTCCATAAGGAAAATCAGCCATGAAGCTCAGGACACATTTTAATGAAAACACTGTGGACCTTGAATGCACAGCTAGAGGTCTTTTCCAGAATGACAGCACGGAGCATATTTGGACATGGCTGAGCTAAATCAAATCAGAGCCATGTCATGCACCAGCTGTACAAAGATGGGTTTCCACTGAGTCATTTGAATAAGTCCCTCATGTCATATTCCTTTTAGAGTTAGTACCAACTATCAGCTTAGACCTGAATCCCTATCCCTCCGACTCGTTGGACTGCTTACAGTACAATGGAATACTTTTCTGATTGCACAAACTTGACCGCAACAAAATGCTAATAACTTTTCTCTGGACAATTTAGATACAAATAAATAAAAACATCTGGCTTGAAAATTTTTGATTCTATTATATTTCTATTTTAAGCACCTTTAAGACTGGAGTTGCCTTTTAAAACCTTTCAGAGATGCTCATCACATACAGTACATTTGTTGGCCTTCAGTAGAATAGTCTCAAGGCTTTAAAGGCATGACTGAGAGTAAATACACTGAAGTACCTCCTGCGCTGAGGACTAGATTGGTCCAGGGGGTTCCAGCTTATGCTCTCAGCTGGAACAGCACATGGTAGTGACATGGGGAGAGGAGGAAGAGCTGTGTCCACAACGTCAGAGCCAAGCCAAAGGTGTTTGTCTTGGTTGTTACATTAAAAGTACAAATAACAATGGAAGCGGAGTAGTAATCCTACAGATGAGTGAGGGGGGCAGGCCTCAAGAAGTGCAAATATGTGAAGATCCAACTAGGGATGTACCGATCCAGAATTTTTGTAATCCGATCCGATTCCGATATTCTTAAATATTGTTTTGCTGATACCGATCCGATACCGATCCGATACCATTTTTTCTAATATTTTCAAAGCATTAAAGAATTTGCAATTTCACTTGAATAAATACGTTTGTCGTGTCGGCTAACACACGTTAGCAGTCACAAGCAGTCTCCCCCATAGTTAGGGTGAAATCCTGGTTTAGTCCTGGTTTATCTCCTGTTTTGTGTCCCCATGGAGGCTCTGTGCGGCCGCTCTCTGATTGCCGCACGGAGGAAAAAGTTCATCACTTGCTTTCGCCGCATGCACCAGGTCTCTGTGTCCACTGCCTCTGCCACAGCTATGCCTCGCACGGACGTGCATAACCATTGACACAGCATTGAAAAACAATCTTTAGATCCAAGTACGCTACGCATTGTGCGGTTGTTGTTTATGCATTTCCCAGAAAGTTTTGCGGTTGACGCTTGGCTGTGATAGGTCAAGAAGCCTCTGCCTACATCCCCCAGAATGCCGGGGGCCTCTGACTCGGCTTTACTTCCTGTGTTTTCGTCCTGTTTTTTCTGGCGGATTGACGTTAAACTAACATTCTATCAACCCCGTTTTCTATTGATATCGAACACGTGTCTATCACAATATATCTCGTTGTCGTTTTATCGCCCAGCCCTAGTTTTACATTATATTTAGTTTACGGCAGCCGTAAAGCGTGAGCATGCTGAAAAGTGACGTAAATCGGCTTCATATTTACAAAAAATCCAATATTATCCGATCCTTACAAAATACCCATATCGGTTATTTCACGTGTTTAAAATTCATGCAGCGAAACATTACGTCATTTGAGCTCGGAATCGACACACAAAAGCCACATCATATGCAATCCAGCAGCTAGAGTAATAGGAGTGTTGAATCAAACTATAATTTAAATCTATTTAATTCCTCAACATGTGATTGTGTTATAATACATAGTGTTCCATCAGAATGCATCTTCAGCCTTTGATAGTGTTTGGCACAATGTCAGCACAAGTGTGGATCTTTGGTGCTTGGCCGTATGCTATGTGCACAGTTGCTGTAGCTCTTCATGTAAACAGACACTGTTGACATTCTGTCAGGTGCACTGCTGTCGTCTGCCTCTTGCTTTGACCCTCTTTCTGCTGCCTGGAGCTAAACTCGGGTCGTCCCCTGGATTTCACTTTGTCACAGAGGAGCACAGTCAAGAGCTCGGACCCAGAAGGGAGCAGGCAGCAGGCCCTAATGATGAGAGCAAGTGTAGGAGGCTCCCCCCAGCACACACGTCTCTGCTGGAGGCCCTGAAGTGTCAACCCACTTGTCTCTGACGCAGGCCTAGTGTACTGTATACAGGTCAACATGGCCGACTCCCACAACCCCACATGTTAAAGCAATCGCATTTCTTAGATAGCACAACTATACGCCGCTGTGCAAATTCATTATGGAACTTAATAATATCACATTGATTGCAGCTCTATATTTTTAGTAATACTGTTCTCACCACCTACTTGCACTATGCACTTTTCTAACCACTGGAACTCACGACTGCTGAAGTGCGATTGCGGGATTAAAACTGTTCATCGTAGGTCTGAGCGCCACTGCAGTTGTTAAAAGCCATGCATACTCTGTAACATACAGTTGCAGAGGATATTGCACTGAAGAGCAGGTGCAGGACTGAGGGCTTTCTTCTCACTATAAATAAAGGTAGCTGTCATGTTTTATTAGTCGTTATATGACCAGTACACACACAACGGATGAGAAGCACGTTGTGTAAAATGCATGCAAAATTGAAAAAAAATGCACAATACAGCAAGGCCCCACTGTACTTTAATTCATTCAGATGTGTAGCAATACAAAGAGTGTATTGGGAAATGCAGCAGTATTGTCTAAATCTATATGCACTTAACTGTTGCACTATTCAAAACTTAAAGAATTCACGCCGTTTTATAGTATAAATTATAGTTGGATGACATTTGAATCTGTTTTGTAGATTGATTTATTTGATATTAAAAACTAGCTAGGTTTGGTGATGATGCTCAAAGGGTGGAAACACTAAAATAGCACCAGCTATAAGTTAAATTTACATTTAAATTCAATTCTGTCCATTTTCCCTCTCCCCAAGAAAGATGCTTATATTTATGTTTGCAATGCGAAATAGAAACTGTACAATACCATAAGCCTATGCCATATATAATCTCTCTTTTTCTCTTTGTGGCTGCAGAGTATGTTGTTCTATGTAAAATCAGTCCTCCAGGGTATTTGTGCATCCCTCGCACCAATTATACATTACCCATTCTGGCTTTGTGTATGCGGGCTCAATGTTCAAGACCGGCCTTTTTTCAAGTCTACTCATTTTCCCAAACATATATTCCCTGAGCTGTGTTTCATTTGCATTGGTTTCTGTTTTTTTTCCTTTCTTTTTTTCACTCCCCTTTGTCTTACTGTGCTGTCAGTCTTATTCTTTCGGGCAGCTTGACAGGATGTGGTGTTGAGATTTTGCGAGTGCCTGGCTTTTACCCATCTGAGCTGACAATCTTTCAGTTTCTTGAAGGCTTAAATTCATCCATTCAGTTACCAAGAGACGACAGGAATAATTTTCTCTCTCTGTTCCTTTTGCTGTTCCGTTTTTGGCATCAATTATATGTTTAATGGCATTTGATGAGCAAAATGAGGCTTGTCACATAATGTTGACTCATATCCAGTCTTTTTATTCCCACTGTGAACTGGAAAGAGCTCAAGTTCTGCTGCCACCAAAAAGGGGCACGGCTTAAAGAGCATTTTTACAATTATGTCTTTCTTAAATCTGGTTAATCTGATCATAATAACTAGAATTTCTTATTCCAATGTAGACAGATGTGATAGTGGTGATTTAATAAAAAAAAAAATGTTAGTACTAGATCAAAACTACGCACACTCTTCTCAGTAATCTTCTCAGTTTGTCAAAAACATTCTAGCAAAACCAAAATAAAACATCAAAACTCATTCAAACTCAATAAAAGGAAAAATTAAATGGTAGCCGGTTGCCTGACCCTTCATTTTATTTTGATATTCCATTATGTCCATTATGCCCCCCCAAAATAATTGCCCAGCCCTGTACAAGATAGATGATGTAGGGCTAGCCTGTGATTGGTAATTCCGATTCAGTTTATTTGCCCTTTGCATTAAATTTGCATTGTGTAAAAATTCCGCAGAGTGAACCACTGAAATGTAAGGTTACAGTTGAGGGTTGAGGGTTTAGGGTCTGGTGACGCTTAGAAAAAGGAGCCAATGTTGATACCATGATAACGTTTCAGTCTTACCAAAATATAAGGCATGCCTCCTGTGCAACTGTTCTTAAAGTCACCATAGTGTTTTTTTATCTGTATGGAATGTTTACCAGCATCAATGTATCTACAGTATACATTTCCTCATAATTAAACTAAATAAAAAGTTACATTTATTCTGCGTTGGATATCTTGCAAATTGATCTTTGTCAAAATGATCCTGTTGGAGATTTAATGATAAATCACTAACTTGGGCCTGTTGCGTCTCATGCTTGTCTCCATCAGATATTACTTTAGTCACATATACTCGGGGGCAACTCGAACATCTCCATCCGAGAACTACTAACAAGGAAATTGCTATAATTTTATATCATTTTTATGAACTTCATTTTCAAGCAGCTAAGAGACATGTTTGCTCATAACATGTCTACTTTATACTCTTAAAGTCTCAATGGAGACATTTTTAAACGGGCACAATTCGCTTGGCTCATAAAGAGTCATTACCTAAACCAAAAACCACCATTTCCTGCCTCAGCCGCCCACTGTTCCTATTGTGCAGGTGATAAGCAGCAATTAGGATTTCGACTGAGTGTTTGCGAGGGTCATGAATCACAAAATGGCGCCCCGGCAGCTGTGGTCAACCTGCGTAGTGTAAAATGAACCCCTAAAGGAGCCCTTTTATAGTTGTTTTATCATTTTGGGAGATCCAGCGCCAGAGGTGGCATATGTAGGTCATTAAAACAGAGACACTTTAAGGGTGCTGGGTTATTATGGTGTAGTTAGTGTTTGACCTTTTAAATCGGTGAATGGAAATAGCCATGAGATATCTACCATAGCAAGCCTCAGATAACCTCCGCTGTAACCTTGCGTTCCGGTAAACAGCATATTGTGTTTGTGACTGTGGTTGTAATTAGCATGTTGAGATGGCATAAGGGATGGGCTGCTCCTCTGTGGCTCCATGAAGATTTAGTGCTCACTGACACAAAGATTGCCTCCTGACTGAGAAACAGAATAGGTCTAATGAGAATGAGGTTTCACAATGGCAGGTAGTAATGTCTTACTCGTTAATCACTCAATACGTCTACTTAAGAGTAAATTATTTTCAAGTTGGTTTCCTGATCAATTTGAGATTTATGGTATCAGTATTAAGGCATTGCATGTCAGGTTTTGATCTACTAAAAAGTGTCTGATACATCATACTATATCACTCAATGATCGATCTATTTTGTATTAGTTTATATTAATTTGTGTATCAATACATTTCATTAACATATATTTTCCCTTTAGTATAAGTTTTGACCTCATTGTAACTGCGGTCATAAGTCAAATGAGAGAAGGGAACAACAAAAGTACATTACCCGTAGTTAGACCACATAAAAGATGAGGATACTATTTAAGTGCCTGTAGGATACAGAATACAGAACAGGAATGAGGCTGTAGCCGAGTTGCAATGACATAAAATCCTCCAGCTCCAGTAGTACTCGCACCAAAATATATTAGTGACATGTTAGTACCATACGAACCAGCCCGGACTCTGAGGAGCACAGGGACTGGACTCCTGTTAGTGCCCAGAGTCAGAACTAAACATGGGGAGACTGCTTTTCAAATTCATGCTGCTAAAATCTGGAACAAACTTCCTGAAGATGTGAGACAGGCCTCCTCAATGACAATGTTTAAAACCAGGTCAAAGACAGTTCTGTTTAGCTGTGCATACAACTGAGGGATTTTATATTTTTATCTTTCTTTTTAATGTTCTGTGATTATTTATGATTTTAATGCTTTCTTATTTTGTTCAGCACTTTGAATTGCCTTGTGTATGAATTGTGCTATATAAATAAACTTGCCTTGCCTACTGATCAAGCTGGGATTCAACACCTGAAAATGCTCTTGACAAGTTTCCTGAGTGTCATTGGAAGATGAGTTGAAATCAGAGAGAAAATCCTTCTAAGAACACCATAACAATTTCAACCTGCAGGGAAGATCAGCGATGGACTCAGAAATGAACAAATAAAAGAGATGAATATGAATGAATGAATGCTGACTATGAACAGGCATATGGATTTAAGGAATATTGTATCTTGGTTTATGAATCAATTTGATAATTAATATTGGTCTATGTATAATGTCTATTCATTAACTATATTTTTGGAGCACTCTCCCACAAACCAAATGAAATAAATACTCCATCCCTACATAAGGCCATGCCGTTTTGTCTTCCTCTCTTTATCAGGGTGCCGGTTGATGCTCTCGGTATATTTATTTCCTGTTCTGTGAGTTGACATTAGCCCTGAATTAAAGCCCTGAACAGGAGTTGGTGTTGGACAGGGCGAGCATATATAATAAAGAGGTGATTGCGGGCTCCTCCTGACCCTCATGTCCCACACAGGAAGCTCCCCACATGATAACAGCCCTGTAGGATGTTGTCTGAGTGCTCACAAATAAACAAAGGGCTCAAATGTTAGACCTTGTATGAATTAGCATTAATGACTTGATTATGTTTCGAGACACTGCTCACCTCTCGACATCAGGGCTTCATTAAACAGTGGTGGGCACTTAATTGAGAGTTCCTGTTCTGGTTGAAGGAAGTTGGATGATTAACATCTGGCTGTGTGGTTTTAAGGAGTAACAAAACTGACTAGTCAAAGTGTATGTTTTATAAAGATTGTATTTTCTACTTACACAAGACCCCAGTAGGACTAACGTGGTAAATGTTTTTTGGATGTTATTGTGATTTTAACCCTGTAACTTTCACTCCTTGAAGAAAGCAATGTTTTGTTTTTCTTTTTTAGATTTTCTAAATGTAGGGGCACTAATGTATATATCTCGCTATCTTTCTATCTCACTATCTATCTCTCACTATCTCTATCTCTATATGATTTATCAGCTGCAAAAGATCGAATGTTTTCTAGCAAGACTCTATGTTGTGATATGGTTTGTTTATAAATGTGTATCACTGTTCTCAAAATAACATCAAGACAATTTATGCAGATACAAACACAAAATAATTATTAAACTAAAGAAATCATTTCAACTTTTAAGTAAGCAGCATAGATGGATATAACAAT